AGGTCTGTAGGTTCATTTCTGGGTTTTCAATTCTATTCCATTGGTCCTGAGGTCTGTTCTTGTGCCAGTACCAAGCTGTTTTGATTACTATGTCTTTATAGTAGAGTTTGAAATTTGGTATTGATATTCCTCCAGCATTGTTCTTTCTGTTACGGATCGTTTTTGTTTGTTCCATATGAATTTTTGGATTGCCTCTTCTATTTCCTTGCTGGCTATTGGTTTGTCATATACAGCCTTTATTGTATTGAGGAATGTTCCATGGAATACTAATTTTTCCAGAACTTACATCATAAAGCAGTGTTGGATCTTATCAAATGCTTTTTCTGCATCTATTGAGATAACCATGTGGTTCTTATTCTTGCTCCAAATACAATTCTTATAGAAAGCCCAAAGTTTTGCCTTTTCTCTTGTACTTTCATGCCTTGGCATTATTGTCAATCTATGTATCCAATCCACATTATAAAAGAAAACAACTCTCAATCTGTTATATTTATAGCACTGAGTGATTTTTTCCAGGAAGTATGGATTTTGTGTAATTTCAATGCACATAACCAGACTTTCCAAATCACAGGTATTTTCTCTCAAAATAATAGACTTTAGAAAAATAAACTTCTATTGACCTGTCCATAACTCTGCTGTAAATGATGATAAAAAAGAAATGTGAAATCTCCCTCCTTATACATACAATTAAGTAATATATGTGAATTTCTCTTTTTCTTAGGTGAGAAAAAAATTGTTTCTGAAGTGGAACTAGATCAATTGAGTCAGATTCGACCATTAATATTCAATTTGAATGAGCAGGCATCCATCTCGGATTGTTTGAAAATGCTCAAGAAAAAAGTAGCAGATTTTGATTTCATCCAAGAGTTTAGGGTAAATATTTTGGTCTTAAAATTCTGTATCTGATTTCTTTTTCTGTATTACAACCAGGGGTTTTCTTTGCATTTAACTTTCCTTTTTTATTGATTACATAGCTTTTATTTTTAAATACTGTATTTCTACTGTAATACATGTCCATAGTAAAAAATCAAATAGTCATTTGAATAGTCAAATATAGAATAGTCAAATAGTCAATAGTCAAATGGTCACATAAAATAGTCAAATAGAAATTTTCCCTCCCCACTTTTGTTTATTCTCTTCTCCTTTCCCCACTTTTCTTTGTTCTATCTCAGGCACCTTTTCATGATGAAGCTTGTTAAAATTCTGAAAAATTGTCACCATGTACTTTACATAGGAGTCTACCTTTTAGAGAAATTTTAATGAGATAACAATTTCCAAACATATCATCAGTATATAGAGCTGTATCTTTAAGTATTGTATGGTAACTAATTATAGATAAGTATCCTAATTTCTTTAGATAGTTCCATATGTTGGACCGTTAGATTTTTTTGGTATTTGCAGTTGTGAACATCAATCAGTCTTTGCTCTTCATATACTTGTGTGCTATTTTTCAAACAATGTCCAGAAGGACACTCAATATTTTGTGCTGACAAAGTTGTTGATTTACTCATCTCTTAAATGACCAATTATTCCTGGATGATAATCTAAATTATATTTCTTTATTTTGGAACAAAGAAATATATTTACATACATTTTAACATGTGTGTTTTCTGTGAAGTGCAAACTATAATTCTTAGTTCAATTTTCTATTCTTTTTTGTATTAATAACCCCATATAATGAGCAAACTTTTTTTTTTGATCGGTCGTGGGTCTTAAACTCTGGGCCTGGGCGCTGTCCCTGAACTCTTCAGATCAAGGTGAGCACTCTACCACTTGAACGACAGCACCACTTCTGGTTTTCTGGTGGTAATAGGAGATAAGAGTCTCATGGATGTTCCTGCTTGGGCTGGCTTTGAACCTTGATCCTCAGAACTCAGCTAGAATTACATGAGTAGCTAGAATTACAGGTGTGAGCCAATTTTTCCTTTTTGCACTTTGAGGCAAATGTTAAGAACAATTTTACTTTTAAACTTTATATCCAGAAATCCATTCCTAATTTTTTAAAGCTTCTTATTACTCTCTGTTTTAATATTTTATACTTTAGTTTTTAGTTGCATTAAAATATCCCTTGAAATCTTGAGGCTAATTGTCACTAATTGCCTCTTGGCTTCTTGTTTTAAACAGATACACATTAAAAACTTTTGAACTCAAATGACAATTTTTTCCTTAATGCAGGAATTACAATCACCACTACTGTACCAAGAAGGTAGACTTAATACCTTTATGCCCTTTAAAAAACATATCCAATTGCAGAATATCATTGAGAGCAAACCACATTATATAGATGAACTTTTTAACTCTCTTTTTAAGGCCTTTTTTATTTTAATACATTCAAGGGGGAGTTTTTGCAATACCAATCCAGTTATCACATCACTCATTTTTACCATCATATTTCCAGTGTCTATCTGTAAGGAAAAGGGACAGGACAAAGATGGGCCACTCAGCCCCTCTTACGGAATGGGCACACACCCAATCCAACTCTTTAGGGTTAGATGAACTGCTTTTTTGCCAGCTGGCCATCTTCCACCATGTGTGGACTCCCCCCAGGGCCTATCTCACTATGCATGACCGGCTGAGCTGCACTTCTGCCTGTTCACCCCTCACCTCTAAAGATAGGTCTTCTTTTGGCTTCTAAGTTTTTCCCTTTCTTTTCTCTTGGTTCTTGAATGGAATTCACAGTTTTAGACAGAAGAAGTAAAGTTTTTGAGTGTTAAACAAACCTTTACATTTAAATTTCTAATATTTATCCCCAAATTTTAGCCAAGGGAATTAATCCCAAACAGACAATGCCTTTTTGTTAAGCCAGATAACTTGATTACAGTGTAAACAGCCTTATGCACTCTAAAATACCAGATTTTCTAATTTTGAAGTTAAAGAATCCTTAAAAAGCTTTTTAAAATCAATGTGAAAATTCTTTTAAAATGTTTGGTAATGTCCAACCCTCATAACCTTTTGAATTTTAAACTTAAACTTACCCAGTGGTTACAGCATGCTGACAACTTTTATCTTGAACATGTTCACACACATATAAAACACATACTCAGATCTTAAAGCATGCAAAAATGAAAATCAGTTGTATGTACATTTTCTAAAAATTTTAAACAAAGATTTAAGACAAGATTTTCTTCCTTCCTTCCTTCCTTCCTTCCTTCCTTCCTTCCTTCCTTCCTTCTTTCCTTTCTCTTTCTTTCTTTCTTTCTCTTTCTTTCTTTCTTTCTTTCTTTCTTTCTTTCTTTCTTTCTTTCTTTCTTTCTTTCTTTCTTTCTTTCTTTCTTTCTTTCTTTCTTTCTTTCT